GACTCAAACTCAGGATCTCATGCTTGCCAGGCTGGCGCTGTGCTGCTGAGCTATATCCCCGCCCTCAAGAGTAGAAATTAAAAGTCATTCTGTGTGCCATTACATCTGCAGGCCGGCCCAGGCCCTGCAATACAGTACACCCCTTGGCTTCACCTTCCCCACACATGTAGGTAGGGTTTATACCTAGAATCCCCAAGAGCCTCACATGCGCATAGGCAGGACTTTTGGAAGAGGACCGGACCATGGGCCCCTGTAGCGGAGCTCTGTTAGGAGGGGCGGGGCCTCCCTGGAGAGGCAGGTTGATGGGGCTGTGACCTGGAAGGTTGTGCTTCCTCTCCCCGCTCCTCCTCCATGTTTACTTTTTGGCCGTCAAGAGGTGGACAACTTTCCTTCACCCAGGCACTTCTACCACGGCCTTTCTGAGTTTAAGCCTTCCGAACATGGACTGAAACTTCTGAATTGTGACCCAAAATAAACCTCTCCTCCTCCAAACGGTGGGTTTTGTGTATTTTCTCCCCACCATGAGAAAGCAACTAAAATACATATATAGACACACACTGATATGTACATGCCGGAGGCCATGATATTTTCTTGGTGGCTTTTTTTGGTGTTCATGCGGAATTTATGTTTTGTTCTTGCCTCTCTAATTCCTTCAAAGATAATTCTGAGTTGGGAGCAAAAAGCCCAGATATAGTGCTAAGTAAAAAGTTTACATTTCCAGTAAAGGATTGGATGAATTCTCCTCATAGCAACTAAACAAAAGCTACCTACTTAGTAATTGAGAAATCCTTTTATTTTCACAAAGTGGAATGTTGAGAACAGGTTACTTGTAAACTTTCTGTAAACGTGTTTGTTACTTAACGCACCATGATAACATGTAAGAAAAAGTTTGATTTCCTTTTCAAGTGAATGCTTCAAACAATAGCGGCCCTCACATCAATGAGAAGAAGGATTTCTTGCAGTTAAATTAAAATTATGGAGTTAGCAAGAAGTGAATAGTGAGACTAAAGCAAGCTGGATCCATTCTTAACAACTCCCTAACCAGCCATGAAGACATCAGGGAATGATATAGTATCTCTGTTCCTTCATTCTTTCTCTGACAAAGACATCCCAATGCCTGAACTATGTTTCACTAGGTTACAGAAAAGTAACTGAAATACTCACTTAGCAAAATCAGAAACAATCCCGAGTCAGTCTCTTCATGTAAAATTTCTCCTTGTGAACCACTGCAATTATAACGTTGAACAATTATTGAAACTGCAAAAGATAATGTCTTCTTCCACGAAGATAGGCTGAGCCCCTTGGATTTCTGCTTATTCCCTTGCATCTCTGGCCTGTCTTTTTGTCTGATCATTAACTTCGTAAGAGGAGTAGGGGAGGCCTTGTTTCTAGGACTCTTCTCCAGGAGAATCAAACTGTGTTCATTCCCAGCCCGGCCTACACTCAGGAGTGATCACCATCACTTTTCGATAAAATACATCCTGGTGGTTTCTTAACATAGCATGGCATCGCGGTCTCTTAGAGCTGTTGTCATGTAACAAAGAAGAAGAGCTCAGCTGCCCTGAGATATTGGCTCTGGACAGTCACAGCAGCAAGCAGCTCTCACAGCGCCTGGCTCTGACCCACTTGCCAGAGTGCAGACCTGCTGCTGTAGTGTCCACCTGCCAAGGCTCACAGACCTTGGAACGCACTCAAAGTAACCTAGGCTTCAAGTATTAAAGAAAAGAACGCGTATTTTAGTTTTGTCAATCAATATAGCAGCACACAATTGGCTGAGTGGGGTGAACAATAAAATTATTTTCTCCCAATTGCAAGAGATCATGGAGATCAAGATGCCCTGGTTATTCCCCAGTGAGGGCTTTCTTCCTAGTTTGCTAACAGCTACCTTCACACTGTGTCTTTATATGTTCTCTGGTGTATGTGTGTGTGTGTGTGTGTGTGTAACACATCTTGGTGCCTTTGTACAGATATGAATTCTTTTGGATCAGGGTTCCTTCCCTAGGATTTCATTGAACATCAATACTTTCTCAGAGGATTCTTCTCCAAGTACATCCAGAATTGTCACTGAGTGTCACCAAATGAAGTTTGGTGGTAGAGAATCATCCAGTGTATAGCAGCAGGCTAAAACCCTTGTAAAAGTTGATGCTGTACTTTTTGAAAACTTAACTCTTCCTTTCTACTACACAAGTACCATAAATATATTAAAGGGTTTATATATTTTTTATATCAGGATTCTGATATACTTTTGTATTATTATTTACTTAGGCATTATGTCCCACCACTGTTGAATATGTTGTGAGTTTATAATGTATTTATCCTTACAAGGATATAATGTATTTATATCAAGGATATAATGTATTTATAATGTATTTATCCTTACAAGGATATAAAATTTATCAACATTCTGGACGGTTCACTCACTCAAGAAGACAGTGATTTTGAGTCCAGTCGAGACAACTTAGTAACTTAGCAAGATCCTATCTCAAGATACAAGAGGTGGTGAAGATGTAGCTCAGTGTGAAGGTTCTAAGTTTAAGCCACAGTACAGTACCACCCTCTAAAAATTACATGTATATATGCAGATATATACATGTGTACATATATATATGTATGAAAATATTTCCCTTAAACTTTTATAGTATAATTTATTATTTTCTTAGGAGTATAAGAATTTAATTACTAAACAAAATTATATCTACATATTAAAGATATTAATAAAGATAATAGTAACCCTTTACATGGGAGAAATCAAATCATTACCATCTCTTTTAAGACATAGAGGGAGAATGTTGAACTGGTTTTTTGTTTGTTTGTTTGTTTTTTGGAGTTTGAGGCATGGTATTAAAGTCTTTATACAATGGAGTACTACTCAGCCATAAAGAAAGATATACTTGAGACTTGTATAGGTAAGTACTCATAAGTGAAATGAATCAGACTTACATGTGTAAACATCATATTGTCTCCTGGGTGTAAGAAACTGAAAGTAAATAAGGTCCAAAAGTACAAAAGGTATTGTGAGCTGTAAAGAAACTGTTCAAAAGGAAAGAGGTATTTTCTTGTTCCCTGTAACGGTTTGAGCAATCTTTCATTCTTTTTTTTTTTTTTTTTTTTTTTTTTTTTTTCTCCGGTACCGGGAACCGAACTCATGACCTTGCGCTTGCCAGGCAGGTGCTTTTGCCGCTGAGCTAAATCCCCAGCCCCTCATTCTTACATGTGGTAATCTGAGCAATGCAGTTGAGGATAGCAATATGTAATGTAACAAGCACTGTTGATTCATATTATTTTGTCCTGAGACTCTGTATCACTTTGAATGTTCTTGCTTTCATTTGTTTATGTTTGTGATACTGGTATGCTGCTACTGTTCTATTTCTTTGTTTGTTTGTTTCTCATTTACTACTCTCTTTAAAATAAAAAAAAGGAAAGAGGAACTAGGGTAGGGATATGTGGAAAGCAAGAAAGGGAAAAGGAAAAACCTACAAGATAGTTATACTACTAGTTCGTTTTAGTGCATTGAAAAGAAAAGTTTGTGCTAGTTTTGTTTGGAGAATTTTTCATATCCATATCTTACACTCTGAGTAACTACTTTGAAGTCAACAATATGAAATGTAGTAACTATTGCTATTCTTCTCTTATTTTACTTTGAAATTCCATTTTATTTTCTCCATCAAATAAATAAATAGACTCTTGACAGAATGAGTGACAACACTGGCCACATGGGCAAAGTTGAACAGATTAGTTTGAAAGTATAAGGGAACAGCAGATACTTTTTAGAAGGATGCTCTGGGGTTCAGCCTTCATCAAAGAACAAAACAGCACTGACATAAAATAAATTGCATTTTAAAATTCTGTTTATTGGGGCTGGGGATTTAGCTCAGCGGCGCAGCACCTGCCTGGCAAGCGCAAGGTCATGAGTTCGATTCCTGGTACCAGGAAAAAAAAACAAATAAAATTCTATTTATTCATTTATTGGTACACGTTTGTAGTACACAAGCTGAGAGAGACAGAGAGGGAGAGCGAGACAGAGCCAAATGAAAGAGAGCAAAATAAAAGATAAACAGAAAGTGCAGAGCTGTATTTCAAATGGATGGGGGAACTAAGAGATGGAAATAAGGAGAGGAAAAGGAAATGGAAAAAAAGAATTGTAGGGAAAAAAACCGATGAGGAAAATCAAGCTTTTGACAGTGAAGAGGGGCCAGGTGTTGGAAGGAACAGCAAGAAAGGGAGGTATAGGGAAAGAAAATAAATAATAACATGAAATTGTCATTTTCTAACTTCCGATTTGAAGAAGTGCTGATTTCACACGAGCTACACAGGACTTCCGTAGCGGCGCAGGCGAATCTCGCTAGTGCCTGTCATGCAGTGCGTGGGAGCTCATCTCAGTCACTTTCTCTTGGCTCAGACAAAACGCTTGACACGCACAGCTCAAGGGATCTATTTTGGCTAACGAGTCAGCCCACGGTCCCCAGGCTCCAGGGCAAGATGACACGGCGCAGGGACATGACAGGCAAGAAGCAGAGGGCAAAGGGAGAGACTGAGGAGCGAGAACAGTACCCCAAGCCACACTGCAGTCACCTACCTCTGCTCACCAGACCTACTCCAGAAGGGCAGGCCAGCTGTGATCCTCCCACAAACCAGTCAAAGCCCTGCCTGTGAGCGCAGGAGGCTTCCGCTGAACATCCAGGTACAAACCAGAACAGAGCCGTTACTACAGACCAAGAGAGCAGCTGCACAGTTAGGTCGCGGCACCGGGAGCGAAAGGGTTAGGTCTTTAGGGTCAAGAGCTGCGCTTCAGAGCTTCTGTTACTTGCGTTTGTTCTCCCTTGCCTCTGATGCAAGTGCCCTTCTACAGCTGAGTCCGGCATTATCCTGCTGCTCCACGTAGCGATTCTTCTCCTGTCACGTTATGAATGAATATGCTTAATGGAGCTCTGTAGGCCTCCACTGCTACGAATTAAACATTTTAACGCAGGTCTTTGTTCCCTGTGTTTTGTTTCCCAGCAATGACATTATTCCCAGCGATCCTGTTCCTGGTTGCTGTGCAGCTTCCATCTTTCCTTGCAAATGAGAAGGAGGTAAAGTTAAGGTTGAAAATCTTTTCAAACATCCAGGGAACCATGAGAGAGAGCAAGTTACGAGATCAGTCTTCAAACCTGAAAAGGACTGGAGTGTTTAATACACCACAAAGCACGCATTGGTAGCTCTGGACAGTTGATAGAAGTCCAGATCTGTGGTGACCAATGCATAGCCCCCAGCCACATGAGAGTGCCGACAGGTGGACACACGTTTGTCTAAATTTGTACGGCCGGACATGAAAGGGCATGGAAGGTTTCAAAGATAGACCCCCCCACCCACAGAAAGGAGATAAAATATCTCATAATAATTTCAGTTTTGATGACAATGAAAAATTATTTTGGATGTATTTGTTAAATAGTACATATTATGACAGTCACCTATGTATCCTTTTTAAAATGGCCACTATAAAACTGAAGTCACATGTGGTATTTGAACTGTGTTTTAGTAGGGTAATATGTCTATGGGTTTAAAGCTAATAATACTCCTCCTGCCCCAAGAGCTGCTTTGATTCATTCTATCTATTTAAACATAATCTGCAGAGATAATTAACAATATGTGTAAATATGATCTCAGATTAGTATATCTTCTTCACATACACCTGTATCTAATTTTTACAGGCAGTGTGAGAACAGTTATATCTGTTTTTAAGTTACAAGTGTACCAATATTAAGTAGATTTTTCCTTTACTCTAATTACTTCAAAAATGCAGTTTTCCTCAAATTCCAGGAACAGGATCAATCATCTTCTTTAATGGGAGGGTGTGTAGTGCCCTAGGAGAGTGATTACCATTTGTCCAGAGAGCTTTTAAAAGTTAGAAAGGTAGGGCATTGCTCTTGGTTATCACACTCTGCTTTAGATTTGGACGTTTATTAGCTAGGCTCCAACATTTGGTTAAGATGTCATTTGTCACAGAGAAAAACAGTCATTTATCAGCCTGGAGACATTTTATTCCTCACCTGGGATTTCATTTGACTAATTTGCATTCTTTCTAATTACTTTCTTACAGATTATGTTTTTTGGCCCTCATTTTTTATCTATTACCACTCTGGTCTATCTCATGGTTTTATTTATAAATTAATTGAAACTTTAATACAAAAGAAATCCATAATCATGATTCACGAAGCCTTTATTGACTTTGAACATCTCAAATGATCCCTCTGATCAGTATTGCTAGGTGGTATTGTCATTATTTATTCAAATTGCTTATCCAGTATAAACTCTAAAATAGAATTTTTATCTACAAACCAAATGTAAGAAGCAGAGAATAATTTCTTCTCTCTCAGAAACCAATTTGTCTGTGTTTTTGGGGGGGGAGCTATTTAAGTGTGTCTGTGAGCTTAGTGGGAAACATGCATAAATATTATTTTATGTCTGGGGTATGTGGAGATTGGTCATTACTGACACAGCAGAGCTACACCCTTTCTAAGGTAGCGGTCAGTTGCTTTGCTGGGTCTCTTGGTAGCAGACATTCATCAATGGCCTTGTCCTCAGGAACATGAAATGCACACTACTCCACAGCACTCTTCAGACCCAAACATGCGTGGAAGTATGACCTTACATATTACCATCTGAATTAAAACCTCCTCGGTCAGCTTTCTCTTGAGGAAAAAAGCTATAGTCATTCATTGATCAACTTCTTTCCTTGAAATACCTTTTGAGATTTTTTGAAAGTTGGAAATCTATTTTTTCAAATATTCCATAAAATCAACTACTGTTGCATAAAACTCTTTTACAAGACTGCAGTCTACCCCCAGGCCCTTGAACTAAACACTTTCTCTAGGCATCTGAGGTCTTGTCAGAAAATTGATAGCCCTCAAGCCTACAGTACATCATGTGTCTGTTCTCTCTCTCTCCCTTGTTGCAGCCCAATTGAGTGTGAAGTCTTAATAGCTCCTATCATGTACCTTTGTCACTGTAAGATATTATCACCCAGAGAGGACATCTAGAAACACCAAGGTAAATCTTCTCTAAAGATCAAAATTGGCACTTGTGGCCTAAGAGAAGATATAATCTATCCTGCCATGGATTACATGCCTATTGTCAGGGCTGCAGTGTACTACTTTTTTTTTTTTTTTTTAATTTAAAAGCCATCGCTTTGGTTTATTATCTTTAGCAATGTTTAACTTCCAATGCTGACTTGAACTAAACACTAGTTTAAAAATTTGATCTTTGTTTTCTTGAAGGATCAAAGACTTATTTAGGTTTGTACGTAATTTTCAAATATACTAAAAATAAATATGATTTTGTTTCTCCTTAGGATAAAGCATTTGCTGCTTTGTCAACCACCCGACCGGAAGTCCAGAAGGAGATTGTAAATAAACACAATGAGCTAAGGAGAACCGTGTCACCAAGTGCCAGTGACATGCTGAAGATGGTGAGGGCCGTAACGCAGGGAAGGTGGGCTAGGAGCAGGCAGCTGGCATCTCCCAACTTTTGCCTAAGAACTTCTGCCTTGATTTGGCATTTCATCTGTCTGATGGTCAGGGCAGAATATCTGAACATTCTTTGATAACATTTCAATAACTTGTCAAGTTTATGGGGCTATTTAAATTGCCAGTAGCTCTAGAATGTCCTTAGGCACCTCCAGAAGACCATCATGTGTTTCTGCTGCATCTGCTGATCAAGGCCCACGAAGACCCTCCCTGGAGGTCAGCGCTGCTTAGTGTAAATATAAGTGCACTTTTCTGGTTCCAGCACCGATGACCACATATGCTCCAAATTTACTGGACAGAGGAGTGAGCTGGAAATAATCATATTTTCAGCAGGACAATTGCTACAAATTATTAGGTGTGCCTGGTGTGCTATTGTAATAGTTGGACCATCACGATCTTAGATTTCTCAGTAGGCATACTGTCTAGTTATTTGGAGCAGAAAACAGCCATGAAAAATATGTTTCTCTGATGTTGACTTTATTTTTTTGTGGTACGGGGGTTCGAACTCAAGACCTTGCACTTGCCAGGGAGGCGCTTACACCACTGAGCTATATCCCCAGCTGATGTTGACTTTAAAAAGTGGAAATGGCCTTGGCAGGAAGTGTGTTTGTTGTCTACTATCATGGCTGTGATGCATAACAGATACACCGCTGGTGGGAAAACTTCGTCCTCCTCACCCCTCCCCCTCCTCTCCCTCCAGCTAGCTCCTCTCCTCAGATTCCCTTCCCGTCTCAGCTAAGTTTGCTTCCTGGTTTATCACCTATTTTTATTTTTGTGTTTAAACTATTTATATTTCGTATGTTTCGCCTATAAGAGAAACTATCTCTTTAACTTTCCTCTGAAGAAATTTTACAGTAATATAAACAAACTTATCCATCTGGCTATATATTTTGTCTTTGATTTTTCAACCATTGAGGGAGGATTTTTTTTCTCCCTGTCCTAGGAATGGTGCAGGGTAGCAGCACAAAAAGCCCAAGACTGGGCAGACCGGTGCCAGTACCGACACAGCGGGAGTGAGCACCGGAAACTCAGTACGTAAATTCCCCGATGCGTGTCAGATAATTGTACCGTGAAATAAGAAGGGCCCTTTCTATGATGCTGTTTTCAAAACCTTTGTAGATAAATATTGGTTCTAAGCCTGCGTGTTTCAAGTGAAATCGCTCTGAATGTAACAATAACGATGAGAATCCTTACCGTTCGTTTTCTGTTTTGTAAAAGCTGTCACACAATATCACCTTTGCACCTGTCAGCAGGCTCATGAATAAAGCCGGGCTGAACCATTTCTTTCTCTACGCTAAAGAATAGAAAAGCATCTATCTGAAGGAAAATGATTAGTAATTAAGGTCATATATGAAAAATTTAAAAGAACATTAAAGTTTCTGGCTTATAATCCAATAATCATTTCATATCATTATGTAGCCTGCTTGTATTTTGAAAATTAATTTTGAAATTATAAAAGAAATTGTTCCTGAACTTTTCTCAAATAGTTAGTATTAATATTTACATACTTTTATTTCTTTTTAAATGTTTCATCGTACAAAATTTTGTGTGTCCTGGATACCTACAATGCACATTATATTAAACAAAAATAGTCCGTTAAACCTACACTTTACATCAAAGAATATAACAGCAATGACAAAATATCATATAAATGAAACATGAAATAAAATATGTGTTGAATGATCAAAATATCACAAAGTCTAGCCCAGTTTGAAAATTATAAACAACTGATCTGTTTTAAAGGCAGGTCTTCATTGTTACTGATACTTATGATAAAGTAATTGTTATAAAATTGTGAAAATGAGTTTGTATTGTCAGAAAAGATGTAAGAACTGGTCCTTAAAATCCCAGTCTACTGTAAAAATCTTAGTTTTCTTCTTTCCTTTTAAAAGAAATTATCCAAGAGTAGTTTATTCTCTTTAAGCAACATGTAGACATTACATTTGACTTCTAAATATAAATGCCATTGGCAGAATTGAACAATAATGATATATTTTGGGGATGCAAGATACTTTTCTCTAATTTTTGGAGGAGACTTTTTGATCTATGTTGCTTTCATTGGTTTATGAAAGAGACAGTCATAAACTTTAAAAATACTCTCTTAGTATAGTTTGTTTCATGCCTGCTCTTTAAAAGACTGAATGTAAGATTTTTTTGCACATTATACAAAATAATAATCTTTAATTTTAATTCCAATTTTTATATGTAAAATTCTCTAGTGAACGTGGGTTAAAACAGGAGATAAATTAAAGGAGTTAGTAATTTTCTAACAAAAGCTAAGCAAATACAAGGCATATACAATATATGAGAAGAATTTAATCTGTCAGTGAATGAGCAAACCTTGGAGAAAGACTTCTTCATCTACTCATAGCTTTGCAGGTTGTGGCCATACCATATGCACTGGACACATCTGGGAGCTATTCAGTCGGTTGCTGGTGAGAGTTTGAGGTACCTCTTTATGGGTTACCCAGGAGTCTGCGAGTATGGGTACTGCGTTTCAACATCAGGGACCCTGCCTTGTTTGTGTGTGTGCATGCACTTGTGTTCCCACTGCGTGCCTCACTGCTTTCCTCATGAGTGATCTGTTGCTCTCAGATGTAAGCTGCGGTGAGAACCTCTTTAGGTCAAGCACTCCCTTTTCATGGTCATCAGCCATCCAATTGTGGTACGACGAAAGCAAAGATTTTACCTTCAATGTAGGGCCAAAGAGACCCTCCGCAGTAATTGGACACTATACTCAGGTAAGAACAAAAGAAATAAAGCAAGGTATCCTGTTCTTAAATAACCTAAAAGGAAAGCATGTCCAATTTTACCTGATTCCAAAATGGAGTTTGAGGGAAAATCTTGTGAGGATACATAGTAGTCTTGGCATTTGTTGAGTGTTTGAGCTATTATTTTCAGTATGCTGCAGGTGTTTTGTAAGGAAATATATCCTGTAGTTTTCCAGTAAGTTAAAGGTATAAAAGAGTGAATGCACAGAGAAATGTAATATTTTTAATTTTATTCACTTGATTCCATAATTTAACTACATGTAAGGCACAAGCAGACAAAGGACGTTGCACCATTGTCTTTGCATATTTCCTTTCCCTCCACTAACCTCTCATACCCTCCCTTCTGGGCGTGAAGGTGGTCTGGTACTCCTCTTTCCGCGTGGGATGTGGAATCGCCTACTGCCCCAGCTTCGCACATTTAAAGTACTTCATGGTTTGCCATTACTGTCCCTCGTGAGTATACACATAGAGATTTCTGCCAATAATACCAAGCGTAATGAAGATATATTAACAATATGCCTGTGACTTTTAATTTCTTTTGCACACATGAATGTTTGTTACCACTAGTTGCAGAGGGTCTCAACAAGCCAGGTTTCTCACATAATTCACTTTGAGACACGAGATAAACTAGATGACGTGTGGAGTTCCAGTTTTAAATGTATGACCTTTGAAGTCAGTTTTCAGGTATGTCCTTTCCATGTTCAGCGGAAGGAATCAAAAGTCTCTAACAAAATGAGTAAAGTGCCTGGTCAAAAGATGAGTACTTCTGGAGCCTAC